AGTTGCAGTAATAATAGAAATAATGGTCAGTAAGCGGTTTTAATGGTGTGGGTGCCTGTCCTCCTCCTCTTCCCTGTCCTCCTCCTCAATGTCCTCCTCCTCATCCTCCTCTTCTTCTTCCTGCATCAACCTCCTCCTTCTCTTCCTCTTCCTCCTCCTCCTCCTCCTCTTCCTCCTCGTCCTCCTCCTCCTCCTCGTCCTCTCCTCGGGGTGCCAAGATAAAGCTTCCGGGTGCTGCATGCGTTATCGCTTCACCTGATGGGAGGGGGTCCTTAATTGCCAGCCTAGGTTATCCACACGGGTGGATCGAGGGCGGCTCCACGTTCCAAGCCGTACTCTCGCTTCAGGGCCGCGCACATCGAATGCCCCGCCCTGAGAGCAGATGGAACGCGATTCCTCTCGAGCCAGCCGCTGCTGCGCGCTTCAAAACCGATCGAGCCTCAAAAGGCTCCCGAGGGGCAGCCAAGAGGCCACCGAGAGGCATCCCGAGAGACCCCAGGAGGCCTGCAGGAGGCCCACGGCCTTCAGCCCAGGCGCGGTGGCGGCATGGGCCGACGGGCACAGCTGCGAATCCGCTCGTCGCTGCTCGTTTCAACGTTGGTTGGGCTCTCACCACTGGAAGGGGAAGAAAAAACTTAAGGAGCCCTGGGACACGCAAATAAATAGACACAAATGACAGGATCCCCCAATGTTTCTCATATCTTCTGGGTTTTCGTCTTCCCCCCCACTGCCCATATTTTCGCACATTTTCCTGGGGACCGACGATTCACTGTGTCTGTGTGTTTCTCCCTCCCGAAAAAAAACAGCATCAGCATACACTCCAGGCGGCCCGCGCGGATTTCTCGGAGCGGCCCCCCCTCCCTGGAGCGCACAGCGCGCTACGGGCGGCGCGGGAGTCGCCGCCAGGGGGTCCCGCGCTGGCCCAGGAGATCAGCGGCCTTCCGACGGATTATTCAGGCGAGACACAAGCACCGCTGCCACCACCTGAGGGGGTGGCCGCTCGCTCCCACCGAGCTGGTGGCACTTCCTTCCGGGCACACCCTGGAGGCATGCCCCGAACGAGGTGCCACCAGCTCGAGAGGGTGGGACAGCCACCCCCCCGGGCTGGTGGTAGTGGTACTTTTGTCTATGGTGAATGATGCCATGACGATGATATCACTCGGCTCGCCCAGGGCCAGCTCAACCTCCCGAGACCATCTCTCGCGACCCAGGGGCACCAACAGAGGGCCCCCGGAGCCCGAAAGCATCGACAAGCCAGAGGACCGCTCTCCCTCGGGACCCGCGTGTTGGCCCGAGCTGGATCGAATCGCGGAGTCGGGTCTGATCAGAAACGGGTCGGATCGCCAGCGAATCGTACCGAATCGATTCGAAATCAGATCGCCGCGCCTGCCTCCGACTTGTCCCAGCCGATGCCGATGAATCGAGCCGAATCTAATCAAATCAGATTCGCGGCCCCAGCCGCCGAATCAGCTGCGAACAGCAGGAAGGATCCCTGCAGCGTCAGCGACAAGCTGTGGGAATGTTCGGGTCTTCCTCCTCCTCCTCCTCCTCCCGTCCTTTTCCTCCTCCCTCCTCCTCCTCCTCCTCCTCCTCCTCCTCCTCCTCCTCCTCCTCCTCATCATCATCATCATCATCATCATCCTCATCATCATCCTCATCTTCATCATCATCATCATCATATCATCATCACCATCATCACCACCATCATCATCATCATCATCACCATCACCATCATCATCATCACCATCATCATCACCATCATCATCATCATCATCATCCCTTTCCTCATGTTCCTCCTCACCCTCGTCCTCCTGCTCTTCCTCCCCCTAACACCTTCCTCGTCCTCCTCCTCCCCAATCACCCTTCTTCTGCTGAAGTGGGGGGTCTCGGATGGTAAGCTTCGGGTGTGTTCCCTATTCATCGCAGTGGTGTGTTGTAGCGTTGCGTTGGGTGGTGCTGGGTTGTGTGATGTTGGAGCGCGCGCGCACTGCATTGTTACGGTGGAGGCTTTTTTTTCTTATCCTATCACCCTGGGGCTTATCATGCACAGACAAATTCAGACGCCGTCTTACGGCCCCGCAAACAGTGCTTGCGCGAGCCCGCAGCCCGCCAGGACCAGACCCCGAAGCGCGGCACCATCACACCGCGCTGAGGCCGACTTCAGGCCTGGGGCCCACCAACCTGGCCGCACTGGCGGCCCTGCCTCGCTCCTGAGCTTCAGCAGCGCTGGCAAAGCCGAAGGAGCCCAGGGCTCCCTCGAGCCCTGGGCGAAACAGCCACCCTGGGGCAGGCGGGGCGGGTGCCCGTGCCCGCCCCTCTGGGGGCTCCACTCTCGCAAAGAGAAAGCGGTGTCCGCCGCCTACTGCTGGAGCTGCGCCTCGCGCCCCCGCTGCCGCCCCTGCCTGGCCCACGCCCTCCACGGGGAGCCAGGCCCGAACGTGTCGCGGAGCCAGAGGCGCCCAGCTTCTAGCTCGGAGGCTGAGTGAGCCGGAGGAGCGTCGTCGCCGCCGTCGCCCTGCCAGCCCGGCCTCCGAATGTCACGGTCGACCGTGAGGGCCACGGTTCCCTCGAAGACGTGGCGGCGCAGCGCCAAGAGCCGCTTGGGCCCACGCGCGGGCTCCTGGCGCGCCACCGTCTCCGAGCCGTGGAGCGTACAGCCGCCACCGACGCCGCCCTCGCCGCCCTCCACATCGATCCCCCCGCCGCCAGAGCAGGAGCAGGAACCCGAGGGAGGCGAAGTGAGGAGGGCGTCGTCGCCCAGGCTCCTGCCGCCGTTGCGCTGGGGCCCAGCCGCCTCCACGCCGTCGTCCGTGCCGAGGTGCGGGGAGAGGTCGAAGCCGCCGTGCGCCACGGCATCCGAGGCCAGAGCACTGTTTCCGTCCGCCTGCATGCTGAGCTCGCCGTCGATGTCGCCAGCGGCCATCTCGCTGCCACCGCTGAGGACGGCAGCCTCGCTGGCCAGCAAGTACGCCGTGACGATCGAGGGGTCCGCGAAAGCAGCGGGAAAGGAGGTGCAGGCAGTGCTGCACGCCGCACCAGGATCAGGGAGGCGATGAGGATGAACAGCACCACCTCCAGAAGGCCGAGGGGCAGGGTGCTCGCCGAAGCCGCCGCTGCTAGGGCTGCGCGCCGCGCTGCCGTCGCCGCCGCCGCCGCCGAGGCCGAGCAAGCCGTCGTCCGATACGTGAACTACCGACACCACCTGCCTGTGCTTGTCGAGCCCCATGGGCGCCGCCGCCACGGGAGCCTTCTGCGCCTCTCTGCTGTCGAAGTGGGCGCCGTGCGAGGCGCCGCCGACTCCGACTACGCCGCTGTCCTCGACGCTCCACTTCCACCAGCGCGGGCCCGAGGCCAAGGGCAGCGGCCTCGCCTCGGGAGCCCGCCTCGCGCGCTCGGCCAGCGCGAAGATGGCGCCAGGCGGCGCGCTGCGCCCGCGGTAGGCCCGAGCGACCGTCCAATCGCTCGGGGCCGCCTCGCAGGCGGCACGCGCCTCTGGCTGGCGGCGCGGCGGGGCAAGCGCGCCGCCTCGAAGAGGGGGGCGCCGCGCCTCCGACCGCTGCCGCACATGGGAGGCTGCGCCAGCAGAGCGAGGTAGAGGAAGAGCAGCCCGTGCGCGAACACCAGCGCCGCGGCCGCGACCGTGCCGAGCTTGCCCTCCGAGGTGCACCCGCCCCGCCTTCGCAGACCTCTGCAGGCGATTGAGGGAGGACTGCCGCATCACCGAAATGCTAGCGGCCCTCCTTGCTGCGCAGTGGAGCCCAGCGTTGCGCCGAGAACGGCGCAGCGGACCCACACCTGCCACCGCACGGCTGCCGCTGCCCCACCGTTCGCCTGCCTGAGCCTGGGTAGGCTCGTCCGCGACCGTGCCAGCACCGTCGCCTGCACCCTGAGGCACGCCGCTGTGGGGCATGCTCTGGGCGTCGTCGACTCGGCGAGCGCTGGCGGCCGCCGCTGCCTGCCCGCCCCCCTGCTCTCCTTCGCCCGCCCCCGCAAGCCGCAAGGGCCCAGGAGGCGGCCGAGGGGCCGAAGAGGTGTCGGCCGCCGCACGCTGCGGGCCTGCCAGCACCTCCAGGAGGACGGGGACCGCCAGCGCCAGCCTCTCGGAGACCTCGCGGTGGAGCGCCTCGCTAGGAAGCTGGGCTGAGCCTTGGGCCGCCAGCGCCAGCGCCTGGGCCGCCGCCGCCTCGTGGGCGACCCGCAGAGTCGCGAGTTCCGCCTCGAGGACTGCGACGCGCCCCAGCGCCGCCCGCAGCTTGCCCTGGTCGGCCCCACGCGCAGCGGCCCGTCGGGCACGTCGCGCAGGCCAGAGCGAAGCCGCAGCCCCGCCGTGCTGAGGCGGCTCGGCTGCCGTACAGGCAGCTCGGCCGCCGCCCGCAGCCACCCCCCAAGCAGTCGATCTCTGCGGCCACCCGCGGGGCCCAAAACGAGAGAGCGCGCAAATGGGACCGGCTTGAGCCAAAATGGCTCGAGCCAAAATGGCTACGGACGGTGGAGGCTTTAGATCAAGATACCTTCGATAAGGAACCCAGGGTCTCGCGACCGATGGGCGGCCGAACGTGAGCCACCCACCTCGCCTTGAAACAATAAGGAACGCGTCAGCGTCTGGGCCCCAGGAAGACGTTCCTTATGAAATGCCGACGGTGTATGTGGGGGTGCGCTGCTCCCGCCTGAGACGCCCTGTTTCTCGACTTGGCCCTGGGAGCAAGGTCCACCCACCGCTGCGAATGCGCTCGGGGCTTTCGATCCCCGCGGCGCAGAAGAAGACCCCGTCTTGACATGCCGCGTCGGACGGCTCCTCGAGGTCCCGTGCTCACCAGGGGGAACATGATGCACCCTGTCGTGGCGGCATCTTCCCTGATCCGCGTGATACCACTGGTCTGCTGTTGGACAAAACTCCAATTTTGGACGCCCGAAATGGGCACGGAAAAAATGGGTCAATGCCCAACAACAAATGTTGTCCCAAACCAACAGCGGTCGCTGTTGGGCAGGCGGCCTTCTGTCTCAAATGGACACAAGCCGCGGCGGCGCGAACAGCGAGTCCTGTTCAAAATGAGCACGAACTGCTGTTGGGCAGTGTACCCATTCTTTTCGTACCACGCCGACCTATGAGGTCAGCGATGTGGATCGTTGGGTGGGGTTCGTGCAGCCCCCCTGTAGGGCCTGTGCAGAAGGATCGTCGGATGTGCTCTGGCGCGTTGGCCGTATTGTCTCGCGCCCACCCTCTGTCATTGGTGGGCGGGGTTTGTGGAGAGCGGTGTTCCCGTTTGGCAGTCGCATTCGGCTCCGTCGGACCCGACCTCCATGTCGCAGTCGACTGCGCCCATTCTGAAAGTAGGCGTTGCCTTCTTTATACTGTTGGTTCGTTTGCAAGCACCCGATTCGCCTGTGCTGCGCTGCTTCTCCCCTGGCGGCGGGACGCCCTGCGGCGGCGGCATTCTTGGGGCCAGCTTGCAGTTTGAGCAGCGGTAGCAGGTGAGGTGCCGCGACCGCCCTGTCCTGCAGGGGAAGGGGGGTGTTCCCTGCCCCCCCCCCCCCACAGGCGAGGGCGACCCTACCACTGGTTTCTCCGTTGCGATGGTCTCTGGCGAGACAATCGCGGCAACGGGGCCTTTCGGTTGGTCCGCCTTGGCTGGGGATTGCATTTCCGACCTGACGATGCCCCATGGGGTCGTAGGCGCACGTCAATGGATTGCAGACTTTGGTGGAGGACTTGACGCTTTGACTGTAGCAAAATCTCCCCTGGTAGCTTTGTCCCAGCCTGAGTGCTACACCCGACTGCCCCCTTTGATGTACATGAACATCGTGATCTGCAGCTTGGTAACGCTTTGCGGCTCTATTCCTGCAGCGCGGCACTTGGCGTTAGCCAGCGCAGCGCCGGTGCGACGTAGTGCGAGGGCCTCTTGTTTTGCCTCCTGAGTGTCTGGCTCAACCTTGATGCCAACTCTCTCGTCTGCCCTCAACGCTCCGAAGGCATTGCTCTTGGCGGAGATATGATAGGCTTGCTGGAGCATGGTCTGGTGACGCTCAGTGCACAGCACGACCGCGTAACCCTGCGGCCCTTCGGAGCCACGGTAGCTGATGCCGAATTAGATGCCTTCTTGGCCCGAGGCAGAGAAAACCAGTGGGCGGCTGGCTGGCTGAAAGCCGACTGTTGCCTGCGGCATGGCGTCCTAAGAGTTGCGCGTCTTCCTGGACCTGCTGGCACAGAAATGGGGCACGAGCGTGGCCGTGAAGACGTCATTGATCATCGTCAGCCTGGAAGCGTGCAACATCATTATTGGCTGATGTGTGGCGCCATGTTGCACTTTGCCGTGCCGTGCCTGGTCCGCTTTGGTAACGGCTATCGCTTGTTGGTGCGGCGCCTGAGATTGGGCTGCGGTTAGTTCCTCAAACGCAGGTGTAACAGCCATGGCGTCTGCTTCACTACTGACCGCACGGGCCCTGACGACATCATCGGCTGGGTCGGGTTAGGTTCACACGATGATCTGGAGGCAGTTGGTTTCTGCCCGTCCGGGTTGGTGGATGGTGCCTTCGATGTGGCCTGGCGTGGATGTGGTAGCCTTCGCCGCGCGCTGCAGCACTGGGACCAATATTTCTCTGCCAGGGTGGTCCGTGCTGATGAGCCCCATAACTGCGAGGGCTAGAGGTTTGCCCTGACTGCGGATATGTTGAAGCAGGCGCTCGCCTTCCTCTGGCGTGCGTAATGGAATGCTGCTGGCGCGTGACATACCCTCACCGCCCCTTTTTTTCTGGCGCCATGGTGACGGGGGCGCCCCAATTTTGCGCATCAAAGCTGATGAGAGGGGCCGTGCCGTTGCCCTGGCGGATTTCGGCTTCGACCGTGGCACACGCTGGTGCGATGCCACGGTATGTGGCTATTCTGCGCGTGAGGGAGCGATGCAGCATGGTGTGGCTGAGTTTGTCTGTCCCGCACAAACCCATTAGATCGCGCCTGAACTCTCGCTGGTCGGAGCGGAGTTGGTGGTAGATGGTGTCGAAATCAGTACGGCGTGTGTGAGCGAGGTCGTTGTGTTCTGGAGTGCAGCGACACGAACTTCTGTTAGAGCAAGGCTGCTCTCGGGTAAGGGAGTCGTTTGGCGGCCCTTGCCTGTTGGCTTGGGTTGCCTTGGTGCAGGAGGCGTACGGCGAGAACCGTTCGGAGCCATGGCGCGCGCGAGGATATTGAAGAGGAGATACGCACGGCACGGATCAATACCGCGCTGAATGGCGCGGCTCCCGTCTTCCCAGGCGGGGGCGGATTCGGGAAAGACGTGTCACGGCTCGCCCCGAGCACAAGTGCTCTCGAGCCAAGGGTGAAGAGGGGAGGGGAGAAAAAGGACGAAGGGAGAGGAGGACGAGGAAGAGGAGCAAGCAGGGGGGGAGGCTGAACAGGAGGAGCAGGCGGAGCAACACGGGGAGGAGCAGGTATGCCGGGAAGGCGGGTGAGCAAGGAGACGAGGAGGGAGGGCGGGGGGGAGATGGCGAAGGAGAAGAGGAGGGAAGGGGGGACGGGCGGAGGGAGAGACGTGATGCAAAGGGGGGACGGCAGGGGGCGAGCCTGCTCCACCGCGCCCAGGAACGCCTCCACGGCTCCCCGGCCGCCGCAGCGGGCGAAGGCCCGCTCGTGGCCCGACTCGTCCCCGCCGAGGACGTCCACGGCGACGGCGTTGGTGTCGAAGGCTATGACCGAAGGGGCAGGTGTTAGGTCGGGCGTGTCCCCCTACAGGCGGGTTCGGGACGAAAAATTAAAAATACCCAAAGATAGAAAAAGTACGCAGAAATCGTCAACACATCGCCCCCAGACAATGCTTTGACTATGTTTGAATATCCCTCCTGTAGAAGGGCGTGCCCGACTTACGGGCAGTGGCCAGGACGACAAGGAGCGGGGGCGCGCCTAGGGGGGCAGGCAGAGGGGGCGGGCCTCCTCAGCAGGCTCTCAGAGGGCCCCTGGTCTGCTGGGAAGCTGTCCGAGCTCTCTCCGCCGCAACGCCGCCTTCTGAGAAGACCTGCCCCCTCGCACTTCCCCCCTGGGCGCGCCGCCGAAGAAGGAGAAGGGGTAGGAGGAGGAGGAGGAGGAGGAGGGCGATCGGGTGAGGCTTCCACAAAACGTGCAGCGAGGGGACAGGAGAAAAAGGACGCCGACGATGATGAGGATGATGATGATGAGGATGGTGATGATGATGGCGATGATGATGGTGATGGTGATGATGATAATGGTGATGCGGATGACGCTGATAATGAAGGTGATAGTGATGATACTGGGAATACTGATGGTGGTTATGATGATTACGGTGACGGTGACGGTGAGGGTGCTGATGATGATGACGATGCAAATAGCGATGATGGTGCTGATGGTCATGGTGATGGTGACGGTGATTATGACCCTGATGTTGATGATGCTGATGGTGATGGTGCTGATGTCGATGGTGTTGATGAGGATGGGCGTGCTGATGATGTTGATGATGAGGACGGGGAGGAGGAGGGCAAGGAGGAGCAGAAGGGGAAAGAAGTGAAGATAGATGGGGACATGAAAGAGGTAAATAAGGCGGCGAAAAGGAGAAGGAGAGGAAGGAGGGACAACGTCCAGAAGAGGAGGGGGAAGGAGGAAGGGGAGGTGGAGCATGAGACGGGGTGAAATGTGACTTTGAAGAAGATGAGGAGAAGAACGAGAAAGGGATAAGGAGGAGAAAGGAAAGAGAGGGAAGGAGGATGGGGAGTGGGTGCCGACGGCTGTGACCTCTAGGTCGGCCTCTGGGATGGAGTAGTGGTAGCTGTAATCCTGAGATGGCCCTCGCGAAAAAGCGCCCTTGGTGCGCAAGATCGTTTGGAGTGGGTCGGCACTTCCCTTTTCCAGCTATCCCTCTCTCCGTCTCACTGTCTCTCCCTCTCCCGATATATGTGTATATGTGAAGAAATACAGATAACGCACATGCAACGTCTAACATCATTGATACCTTAATGCGCATACTTCTTTGACAAAAAAACAAATACCTAAATGTCGATGCGAAGGAAACGAATAACGAACACGAGTACTCAGAAGGAGACGATGAGATGACAAACTGAGGGGTAATGAGGTCGGCCCTACGGGGATCTGTGCGTGAAAATGGATTGTGGGTGCTGGTGCAGGGGAGGCGACCATATATATATATATATATATATACACAGAGATGTGTATATACATGTACGCTGACTAGAAAAAAAAACGCGTTTCGCGCGAGCTGAGGACTAAGTCGCAGCGGCGCCTCGTTTTACGGCTGTCGCCTTCGCTTGTATGATCGGCGGCATCGCGAAGTCCGCTGCATCTATTTCCAGAAGGCCAGAAGTTTCTGACATTAGGATTGGTATGTTGGCTTGTTCTACCCTTGTCTTTGGTCTATCTCTTCAGTCGGCTGGATCATCATTGAGCTCGGCATGGCCAAAACATATTTCCCTGAAACAGAAGCGTACATCTAGATATGGTGCGGGCAGGGTCCGGCCGGCTGGCGACGACAGACGACGACGGCGACACGCCCCTTTTTATCTCCTACGTTCAGCCGAAGACAGCTGCGGAACGTCCGATGACCAGCAGCAGTATCCGATAACGAAAGCGGCGGTGGCGGAAGACGCCGAGGAAAGAGTCATATAAACTGTTGCAGGGTCTCCATCCACCTCGGCCCCCTCCCCCTCCCCATCCCTCGTCGTCGTCCTTTTCCTCCTCCTCCACCTCCTCCTCCTCTTCCTCTTCCTCCTCCTCCTCTTCCTCCTCTCCTCGCGTTCGCGTTCCTGCTCCTGCTCCTGCTCTCCCTCCACATTTCCCCCCTCCTCGCTACTCCATGTTCGCTCATCCTCGTCCTCCTCAATCTTTTCCTCATGCTTGTCCTCCTCCTTCTCCCCGTTTCTCCTTCTGTCCCAGGTCCTGCTGCTCCTCCTCTCCTCCTTTTGCAGCGACTCCTCTTTCTCCTCCCTCCTCCCCCTGCATTCCTTCCCCTTGTAGATAACTCCTACCTGTCGCACCCCGAGGCCAGTCGAAAGGGCGGGCCAGGCGTTTCGCCTGAGACTTTCTCACCAGTGGATGGGAACTTTCTGTGATCCTGAGGCTTGAAACATGGCAACAGCTTCACGGGTTGAGAGTAGATCTGTATCAAAATGTGTTTCTCGCCTTAGAGCCGCGCACATGCGTTTGACAGAAATGCAAGAGCTTGACGAATTGAGGGCGGCTCGTCTTCGAAATGTGGCTCTCGCCTTAAGAGCCGCGCACATTCACTTTGAACAACTGTACAAGTTTCACTGATTGGGTGCGGGTCGTTTTCGAAATGTGGCTCTCGCCTTAGCGCCGCGCACATCTGTGAAAAAAGTGCCCAAAGTTTGACGGATTTAAGACAGCTGCTTTTCGAAATGTGCCTCTCGCCTAAGCGCCGCACGCATGTGCTTTGAGAGTTTGCAAAGGGTGTCACCGCTGCCCGTGGTAAATATACCAGAGAGGGTGGTCTGGAAAGACTCAGGACTGTCGGGGCGCACCAGTTACCTTGATTCGCAGTGTTGGTCCCAGGTATGGTGTTCTGGCAGGGTTCAGGATCGCCAAGACGCAACATTCAAGCTAACTCGTTGCGTTGAAATCCTGAGGCTGGCTTTGGCACGCTTCAGGACTTTCGCGAGGTTGTCCCCCCAAAAATCGAAATGACCCCTTGTAGGAGCCTATGAAGAGGAAGCTTGGAGGGAGGGTGAATCCCAACATCGTTGATGAGCCTTGCGCTTACACTGGTCCTCCTCCTCCTCCTCCTCCTCCTCCTCCTCCTTGTAGCTCGGGGACGGCCCGAAGCGGGTAGTAAATCCACGGGGCTTTGCTAATCGTTTGACCAGCTCTAATCCTCCTGCTCCTCCTCCTCCTCCTCCTCCTCCTCCTCCTCCTCCTCCTGCGCCTCTGCCTCCGCCTCCGATTCCGCCTCCTCCTCCTCCTCCTCCTCCTCCTCCTCCTCCTCCTCCTCCTCCTCTTCCACCTCCTCCTCCTCCGCCCGGATGTTCCCAGAGAGGTTTCCGGCCATTCTCCACGGGCATCTCGAGGTCTCGAAGGTCTCCTGCTGAGGGTCTCTTAGGCCGTCTTGGGGCCCTCAGGGTGTTCTGGAGCTGGCCGAGGGCGCTCTCGGCCCGTCCGACGCCTTTGGCAACTGGCGGGGCTCTCGGAAGGCACTCGGGTCGTTTGGGGCGGCTCTCGAGCATTCTTGGAGCCGCGTTGGGGGCCCGTGGACTCCTATTCGGGCTATTTCGGGCGATTTGGGGGCCATCTGCAAATCTCCGAGGCCCATCGGAACTGAAAAAGCGAGAGTTTCAAGCAAGTACAGTATCCCCTTAGGTTTTTAGTACATTGTGGCCTCTCGTGGACGTCTAAGGGCCCCTGAAGGGCTTCTTGGGGCCTTTGGGAGCGTCGTGGGAGCGTCTTGGGGACTCTTGGGCCCGTGTTGGGAACATGTTGGACCATCTTGGCGGCCTCGAGGGCCTCGAGGCCATCTGCGGCCGCGTTAGGCCGCTCGTGGGAGGGAGGTGTCGGAAAACTGTTGGAATCATCTTGGGGTCCTCCGTGGCTCCTCCTGGGCTTGTGTCGGGCGAGTTGGGGGCCATGCACAAGCCTGGGAGGCCCGTCCGTAGTTAGTGACACGGCGAGATCTTCCGTCGCCGCCGTCCGTCGTCCGTCGTTGTCGAGGGCGGCCGAGCTCCGCCGACAGCGAGCGAGGCAGAGAACGAAGAGGAGGACAAGAAGGCAAAGAGTCGGAGGAGAAGGGGAGGAGGCAAGGAGGAGGAGGAGGAGGATGAGGAGGAGGGCAAAGGGAGGACGTTCAGGGCCGTCGGGAACTCTCGGAACCGTCTTATGGGCGCGCCGGGGTTCCCGGAACTGGGACTCCCGCAGCCGCCTTGATGGCGGTCTGGGGTCTATCGGGGGAATGTGCCTGGTCTGTGGGCCAGAGGCCTCGTAGACGCATCTTGGGGGCTCGGTGGATGTCTCTCTGAACCCTGATGGAAGCCTCTTGGTGGGGGTCAGCTGGGGGCTTCCCAGGGGCCTCCTGGAACCTCCTGGGGCCTCTGTGGGGGCTCTTGGGAGCCTTTTTGCAGGCGTCTTGGGGCAACTTTTGGGGCCTCTTGGCGGCCTCGAGGGTGATCTTGGGGCTGATGGCTCGAAATGGCAGTCGTCGTCGTCGTCGTCGTCGTCGTCGTCGTCGTCGTCGTCGTCGTCGTCGGCGTCGTCGTCGTCGTCGTCGTCGTCGTCGTCGTCGGCGTCGTCGTCGTCGTCGGCGTCGTCGTCGTCGTCGGCGTCGTCGTCGTTGTCGTCGTCGTCCATCATCTGGCGTCCAGCGTCCGGCGTCCGTTGTCCGTCGCCATCGAGAGCCGCGGAGCTTCGCCGAATGCGGGCGAGGCAAAGAGCGAAGAGGAGGAGGAGGAGGAGGAGGAAGAGGAGGCAAGGAGTCGGAGGAGGAGGGGAGGAAGCAAGGAGGAGGAGGAGGAGGAAGAAGAGAATGGACGTTCGGGGCCATGGGAGACTCCCGGAATCTTCTTGCGGGCGATTCGGGGCTCCCGCGGCCGCCTTGACGGTGGTCTGGTGTCGATCAAGGGAATGTGTTTGGGTTGTGGGCCAGAGGCCTTATAGACGCACCGTGACGTCTTTGTGAAAGTCTCCCGGAACCTTGGAAGCCTCTGGGGATCTGCTGGGGTTGAGAAGTGCTTTGCCTGAACAAAAGCCCTTTTTGAGCGATTCCGATAAAACTGATGTTGAATTGGTTTTGAATTGGTTTACGATTTTCAGAACGTTGGGTGGGCAGCCTACAAACTTAATCTAAGCAGCCGAAGCCGAAAACCGCAAAATGCAGCACGTACAACGCGCAGTTGCACACGACCGCCCTGTAAGCAGGAGGGCGCATCAGTTTTGCCATCCCCACCAGCCGTCTGGGCGTCAGTGGTGTTGGACCCTAATGTGTCCAACCCTCTCCAACCCTCCCTCCCCCGCCCCCCCCCTCCCGCCATCCGCCCTATGGGCCTGGGCCCGTCCTCAACCCACGACAGCGGCTACAGCTCGTCAAGATGGCCCACGATGGCCCCCAGAGGGCCCCTGATAACCCCAACTCTCATTGTCCCCAAGAGGGCGCGAGGCAGCCCAACTCTGTTCAGTGTATCCCCCATCGCGTTTCCAAGGGGTCCACCTGCATTTGGCCCAGGGTGGACCCAAGTGGCCACAGGAGCACGCCGAGGGCGACCCCGAAAAGCCAGGAATCCTCATCGCACACGGGGGCAACCAATGACGCACATTTCATCGCAACGTTGCCTCCGACCGCAGGCGCCCCTGATGGACCCAGCATGGCCCCGGGGGGCCCGGAGGGGGCGCGTGGGGGGGCCTCCAGTACTGACCCCAGGGAACGCCTAAGCACGCCCCAAGAGTGACCCATGCCGACTCCAGGAAGTTGTGTTTAAGCATCCTACGGGGCCGGCGCAATGCGCGCGGCCTCGCTGTTTGACAAATAAGTGTCAATGCTGCGTCACATCATAATTCAAATTGCCGCCCACTCCCCACCAAAGAGGACTTCAACGCAGCCCCAAAGGCGCTCGAGGGCATGGCCCGAAGACAGCCCAATGGGCCTCCGAAAGAAGCCCAAAAAATGGCCGCGGGGGCCCTCTCATGTCAAGGAGCGTAAGGATTGGCACCGCTACTTATTTACAGGATTTAAATAGTGCGCCCGGAACCCAGACCCCAACCTTGGCGGGCACTCTTCCTGCGCGGGCCAGGGATGCGCGAAGCGTCAAGACGGGGCCCCAATTTCGTTCAAGAATTTGTTTTTCCTCGCGGGCGTAAGCGAAAGCGCAGGCGCCGAGTTGAAAGGTCCAGGCCACGGGCCGATCTAAACGTGCAAGAAACGCGAAGCGTCGAGAATTGCAGCAGCGGCCCCCGCGCCCCTGGGCCACGGCCACCACCGCCCCCCCGAACTGAAAGGTCACGCCCCTCCGATCAGCAGGAGGAGGAGAGGGCAGGGAGAAGGGCGATCTTTGGATGAGGGAGGAGGAGCGGCGAATAAACTTGGAGGGCGGATGAAGGGATCGGCGGAATGGGGCGGGCTGGGAGGGAAGGCAAGGGGCGAAATGATGTGCGGAATTTGGGCGACCAGACGGCGGAAAGGGGGCGACGGTGATACTTGCGGGCCGCGGTGGGGAGAGGGCGACTGGGGGAATGGGCGGCCAGAGGAAGAAGAAAGGGGGCGCGGGCGAGGCCCAGGAATACAACGCCGGGGGAAGACAGGAGGGGGAGGGGGCGAACGACACGCGGGGTGGTGCATTCTTCACCCTGTCGGCCCGATGCTCAGCGAAAGCCGCGAGCTGGCCTCGACCCGCCGCCGAGGCCCGCGGGCCTCGGCCTCTGCCGCGCCGCGGCGACAACTCTGCTCACCGAGCTGGTCGCCGCCCCGCAGCCCCCCCCCCCGAAAAAAAACATGCATATGACGGGTGCGCACGCTGCTTGGCGTGTGCTTTTGTCTGTAGATGCGTGCTGCCTGCCATGCATCGTATCAGTACATATACCCTGTCACAGGCGCGCCTACCATTACCGACGAGGCTGAAACGCCA